AGAAAATAAATAAACTACAATGAAAATGATGTTCATTAATAACTTTAACAATGTATCCAGACATCATCAAAGTGCAATTCGAATTAAGATAAATTTATAAAAATTAAATGAGAATAAATACTAAATTACTTTTAAGGTAAAAAGGCTTCATTTGCGAAACAAAAATGTTAAAATATGTATATTAATTGGTTGTGAGTAAAATAAATATGCATTTTATCCGTTGATGCAACAAATATATCAATTTAACCATAATTCCATATTAAAAAATCTACGTTATCGATATTAAACATTTAAAAAAATTTATATATTTATATACACAAGCATATTTATTTTTGGTTTATCATTCTGATGCAGTTCGTAGCTAGCGCCATGACAGGATTAACGTAGTTGTGGCTGGACCGAGAACTGGTGTTGGCAGTGGCACTGACACTGGCACTAGCATTGCAACTGCAAGCATAAATTGCGGCTGTATTGTTCAATTTATCTCTGGACTAATTAGTGCTGACATATGTGGTTTGCCAATTTTATAGCCCTTTTAATCTGTGGAGCTGTATATACTCGGATTACATCGATTTTGTTGTATTATTATTTTAATTTGCTCAGTCAATATTTCAATGGCTTACAGAATTTTACTCATTTCAACTTCAATCAAATATTTTGTTAGGCGCTGAATTACATTTTTATTATTTTAAATTTATTTATCTATATGCGATTTTATTAGAAAACCATTTTGTTAAAGATTATAATGTATTGTATGAATGCATATGTGCTTATGCATTTGCAATTAAATTTAATTTAAAGTATATGATACATTCGCAGTGGAGGAGGAGGAGTTTGTAAGCCAGATATCCTATTTTGTTGCGAATATAAATGAAGTATTTCATATCTATAATTTCTGAGAAGTAATGTATGCGTATTTAATTAATTTTAAATATATAATTATAATAGAAATTAAAGGAATATTAAACTAAGTTTTTTTTTTAAATAATAAATTCATACAAAATAGCCAACTTTAATAATAAATAAAAGTTTATAGTCCATAAACAATCTTTTAAGTGCTTCCATACAATATAGATGAATTCTCTTGTAAATATTTATATTAACCAAAATAATTAAATAAATAACTCAATGGCTTTAATGTTTGCGAAAACTATATGCTAATTTAATACTATATATTAAATACTTTAAATATATGTATGTTGATATATATATTAATAACTTGCATTCCATCTCACATCAAAGTGTTGACACAACAGAATGTAGGAGAATTAATTGAAGGCTCATATTTTATTTACTTTCTAAAAGTCAATTTGAGATAAGTTTCCGAATAAATTTGCATATAAGTTTTTTTAAAATTATTTCCAGAAAAAAAATATATTTAAATATAAAAAATGTGCTTCGATATGAGGTGAGTCAGCATTTCCGATTCCATGTATTCATACCCGTACATTATGGAATTAATGCTCCGGCATCGCTGCCTTACTGACTGGAGGTTTTAGTTTTTAGTTGATGACCGTCAACAATTTGCATGATGGACACAGTGAAAAGCCGTGATTCACTTGAAATTTAAAGAAACTTTGAATGAATGTTGCAGTACGTGTGGTAATAAACATATTTCTTTATTTATTTATTTTTTTTCTTAAATAATTAATATAAAATGTTTACAGTTGAAAGCGATAAAAATTCAAACTATCGTAATTCATTTCATAATATACTCGTAATATGCCATATGTATATGGAATGCCGCTGTGTTTCGAACATTCTAGGAACGCACATAACAAAAACAATTAAAAGATTTTTTATACATGTAGGCGTTATTTAATATAAATAATATTATATTATAATATTTTATTTTTACTTTTGTTTGAAGCATGTGAATCTTGTTAGAATTTGAAAACAAAAGTCAGAATGTTTTATCGTTGACATTTGGCATGAGAATTATGTCTTGACTGAATGTGATTTGTTCTTAGGCGGCTTGCAAAAATATACTTTTTTTCAGTAAATAATTTTAGAGATTTAGAGATAATATATAATTTACCGAACTATAAATTACTATCCAGTCTGGACTATATATAACGAAAGTGTGCCGTGCGCAAAAATATATTTTTTCAAAATTTGAAATGCTTTATCATAAACTTGAATATCATAAAATACTTTTTTCCTGCTATTTTTATTTCAGTTATTTGAAGATTTTTGCATAATGTATATGAAAAAAAAAATATATTTAAATTTTATGTTAGAATTCTTTGGGACTACATAGAAAACGTATTATTTATTAATGCAATGTAGCAATCTCTCAAAATATTTTTTCTAAACGCAATAATAATTTAAACGTCAAAGGATATTTAAAAAAATTTCTATCTGATTGACATGCGATAGACATTATTATTATTATTATAGACAGATATTGTTAAATTTGATATGATTAATAAATCATAACTATAACATTTTTCTGAAAAAGCTTTTTATTCCCTTCAATATATTTAGTATAAAGTTTTTAAATATGTTACCTTTGAAAAGTTTCCGGTCATAAATAAATAAAACGCAAAATTCTTAATCTTCATCAATATTTATTTTATCTCCTTCAAAATATGCTCCATTAGAAGCGATACACAAATGCAAACGTTTCTTCCAATCATCAAAACATTTTTTATAGGCGCTTTCCGGTATGGCTTTGAGTTCCCTCTGCGAATTCTGTTTTACGTCTTCTATGGATTCAAAACGCGTTCCTCTGAGTGGTAATTTGAGGTTGGGAAACAGGAAAAAGTCACACGGTGCAAGATCAGGTGAATACGGTGGCTGTTCGATGGTATTTATTGAATGTTTGGCCTTAAAATCGTTGATAATGTTGAACAAATTGAGGTGAATCGGAACAAGCCGGGCGTTGACACGTCGCATACACAAATTGTCCACCAAAATCAAACGAGCCATCTCACGACCGATGCCTAGCTCTCGTGCTATCTCTCTAACACTCACATGAGGATTTTTGAACACGATTTCCTTTGCCTTTTCAATGTTTTCGTCGGTGGTAGAGGTCGAAGGTCGTCCAGAACGCGGCATGTCTTCGACGGTCGTACGACAGTCCTGAAAGGCTTTGTACCACTCATAAACTTGAGTTTTCGATAAAACTGATTCCCCATAAGCCTTTTGTAGCATTCGCAACGATTCTGCACACGAAATTTCGTTCGAAAAACAAAATTTGATGCAAACTCTTTGTTCAATATTTTTTTCCATTGTTTTTTTCGCAACGCACTACTGAGGTGAACTGGTTTCAACAGCTGCCGTAAACGAACTGTCCGACAGATCGCGCTCATTTTTGGCATAGTAATTAAGGACAGTGCTGCCAAACTACATAAACTTAAAATATCGAAAAATATACAGCGCGCGAATTTTAAATGAGAACCTCCGAAAACCTTTCGGTCACAATGTATATCTTCTTCTTTTTCATTCCATTACGTTCCCAGGAGAACATTGGGCCATAACGAACTTTTTCCTACTGTCACGATTTCATGCCAGTGTTTTAATTTCTCCAAAGGTTATTCCGCTTGCTTGGAGTTCTTTCTCTAGTGTTCGGTTCCATATACATATATATATATATGTATAATATAATTCAAAATTATCTCAGGAAACCTGTCCACCAGTACATTTAAATAGAATGTAATGGATGTCTTCGACCATTCGTTGATTACCAATGAATTCTATTATTCTACCATTCGTATTACTCAATATTATATATTTCGCATGAATATTAAATGATATTACATATTATTTATATTAAAATTATTGACATGAAATCGCCTAACAGCTGGTACTGCGGTCATAAAAGTCCTATTATACCAATTTCACGTACATAGTGATACCATTGTGATAGAGGAATTAGGCCCTCTAATCCAATATTTAGTCATTCAGATGTAATAACTTTGTTAATGACACTTTAGAAACATAAAAAGTGTCTGCTGACTTCTTTATTTATTTATTTATTTATATTTATTGAGTATAATTCGTATTCTTGAGATACATTACATATAAAAGAAAGTCTATATGATTTTTTAAATTTAAGCTTGGCCAGATGTGTCAGATTGTAAGTCAATTCGACTCTTCTTTACTCCACTGTTTGTTTAAAATATTTAGTTTTGACTATAGGTCTACTGATCATTAAGTGATCATTAATTTGAGCCATATTTCCTCTCTTTCATAGCTCATCTATGATGAAATTGATATGGCAGTGACCATTGACTTTCAAAATAGTTTAAAGAAAAATTTTAGAAAGGGTAACCAAAAAATTTGTTAAGTTCCATTAAATTCTAACTCAAGTTTAAATAATCTAATCTTTCAAATAATTGAAAGATATTGCATTAGGACGTTATATGAAATATAATTATAAATGCCTTAAAATTATAAATATCAGAAGATCAGAATGCTCATGTATTCTTTTAATAAATGTTTAATTATGTTTCATTCCAGATCACTTAAAGTTGTTTATTTCTCTCTGTTTATGCTCTCAACAAAAAGGACATCATGGTAATCGAGACAGCGCGATATTGGAATATAGTTTTGATTATAATTTCTGTATACCAGAGAAAGCTAATAACGTCATAGTAATAAAAGGAACACAAATTGTTTTACTGCTTTCTTTGAATTCGTTTTCGAATTTTTTTTTCGAAAACCCTTTACATGAATTCATCAGAAATTAGTTTACAAGAATACTGGAGAAGTAGATAGCTTATATAAACAGACAGATTATATTCGAAATGGAAAATATTGTATTTTTTATTTTATAGCTATATAATTTATAAATGATATAATAATGATAATTTGTTATGTGATACATAAAAATAGAAATCCTTCAGTAATCCAGACATTTCGGTATCTGAAGATTCCGGACTCTTACAACATAATTCTCTTAAAATTCAAAAAAATACTGTGCTACGAAGTACTTAATATTATTTGTTTTTTCTTTTTATAGTATGATATAATTTATGATATAAATAGATTCTTACCTTTTGCACTAGCAATGGAGCAGCAAAGTCAACGCCACCCTGTAAACGGAAACCCCATGGTTGAGCATCGAAACGGGATAGTTTAATTTGCATCAGTTGTGGTTGAGCCATTTTTTCTGAACTACTTTAATTATTTTCTCTGCAAAAATAAATTTACTTGTTAAAAAAAATGTACATGATAATTAGAGACTATTTATTATAGTAATTATTATATGCTATTATTATTATATTAAATTGTAATTTTAGTATTTTTCGAAGGATATCTCAATATTAATGGAATAATTGTAAGCAAAATGTATAACAGTCTTTAACCCTTTTATGCATAATATTGTTCAACAAATTATATTTCTTTACTATGTTTTGTTTTTCAGCTAGGTGAGATATTATTGAGAACAAGCCAGGATAAGAGGCACTTTGAAATTAATACCCGAAAATACTTGAACTTTGCTATAATAACAAGTACTCGATCTTTAGTAATTTATAAGCCTTTCTTTTTTATACTACCTCGAAAGCGTTGTCTTATGTCTCTTAGGACTAAGGACAATCTTAGTTAAGTCATTTATAAAACAATTTTTTTTTTGATACCCCTCTCCGAGATTAAGAACTTTTTCATGTGCACTGATTTTTCACTAAATACCTTATATAAAAATAAAATTTTTTTTCCTAAATTGATTTAAAAATATATGTAACCAATAAATAATATTAAATTTCTTTGTTTCAGTTTTTTCACGCATTCTTACATGTTAAACTATATTTGGACTCAGGTGGAATCAGTAAACCGCAGCCACATCTATTCACGTTCTCTGAAACTATTGTTACCACAGATACCTACTATAAACTCCAATTTTTAAAATTTCAAAATATGCTCCGACATAAACTTGAAAGCAAAGTCACACTTTCTCATGCAAAAATATGCGTCCATAAACAAACAACGGAACGCCAAAAAATGGCATAGGTGAGAAATGGTATTACATCCATAAACTGCGAAACGGCGGTGGGATAGCTAATGCACACAGGAGCACATATGGCTGCACCACGTAAACTGCAATGTTATTTTTTCGCACTTTTACTGTTTTTGCAAAATTAAAAAATTTGTTAAACAAACGCATAAAAAACACGCGCTCACAAGGATACCAAAAATATAACCGTCCTTAAATATGGATAAAAGAGTGATCAGTTGAAAGAGTAATGTGAGGAAAGCGAACGAACGACATGAAACACTTGCTGATTTTATGTCCTGCGTTTTTGGTCTGCGAGAGATATTAAACCTGGAGCTTTCTTTTTTGTTAAAGGCTTCCTGCTACGCTACAAGGTTGTGCTTGTTTCCCCTGGCACCTATCCACAAACACATTCTAGATACTTTCGTACACACAACCGCATCACAAAGTGCTTTTTTATGGTAAAATTTTTTGGATTCCTACTGTAAGGATATGCACAGCATGAAATAACAATTCCGCTGAAGGTTGTGCTTTTAATGTACACTCATTCGCATGTGTGGGCTGGGCACGAGTGTGCCGGTTGTGTGCCTCCATGCAAGAAGACACTAAATGCCGGAGTAACTACATTAAGCTATTAAAGCCACACAATCAGGCACACACCAGCAGATTCATATTCATACTTATAGTACATATCCTCACAGGCTGCTGGTACAAAAGTTTAATTAACATAAATTGAGGGAGTAAATATACACATTCAGCCCGGTTTGCGTTGGAGCACTTTGTACATAGTGCAAAATTTAATTAAAACGTGAAAAAATTATGCAGAAAAATAAACTCAGCTTATATGAATATATATTTTAAAATTAGTTATATGATTTAATTTATGTCTGACATTAGTTAACTTGACACTAAAATATTTGAAGATTTTTTCGAAAAGTTTGTTAATTCCCGCACTACAATTTGAAATATAAGAGTGGATATATATCAAAGAAGCATACATCCCAAAACTTTGTATAAGAGACATCATCTTATACAAAGCACAATCTCGCTGTACTCACAAATAAATTCAGCTTCCTTAATAAATAAATATTATATCCTCAATCTTAGAAATTTATAACAGATTATTTCATTAAAAGAAATAATATCTTTTAAGTTTTCTAAAAACAAGGCATCAACTATTTATTTATTATTGTGGTATCACCATGAACTCACATAAAGAGCCTAAATGTGTCCCATCTTTCTATGAAGCAGATTGGTACCACCATCATTATTAGATAAGCACACATCCTGAAAGACTAGCTTGCATTTTAACTGGCAAACAGAAAGAGATTCAAATTGAAAATCATAGAAAGAGCGGATAAGGCAAAGTACCATGGCTAATGACATGTGCTTTTAAACAACTTTAATAGAACACAAGGCACTCCGCCCGAATGAAAGCTAAAATATATAGAAACTTCTTAGTAATTTGATGTTCGTGTTCCAGATCAAATCCAGACCATTCCAGAGAATGTGAGTGAAAATCTCATTTACCCACAAGCACAAACAGGTAAAAAAAAATCACAATCAGAAAGACAGAGGTACCGACAAATAAAAAGGGGTTAATAATAAGACAAGGCGATAGTTTTATGCAGATCAAGAAAATAAAGCATATAATCCACATGTTTTATGAAATTTTCTATACGTTAAAAACTTATTTACAAACCCAATACATATTCTTTATTTACAGATATTTTTTATTTAACAGATAAGGGTTATTATTCAGTTAAGAAATTCCGCACCACAACCTAGAGATTTATCATGCCATCTTAATGGATTCAGAATATATTTTAACATGTCAGATTCCCTAAAAAATTGTAACATTGAACCTACTTTACAGAATTTTAATTCTTCATCCAGTATAAGATTCCCCCTGGTATATCTTTCGAGTATGCAGCAATGCTGGACAAACTGCCAGTACGTGCTTTCAAATCTCATTTTCTTCTCTGTAAAATCTTTCGAGTATGTAGCAGTACCGTACAAACTACCAATACATGTTTTCAGATCTCATTTTCTTTTCTACAAAATCAGTAACTTCCATTTATATTAATTCAAACATAGAACGGTGATAATATAGCCTACTGTGTCCTGTCTTGCTTAGCCTACTGTGAATTACTGTATTGGTTCTTAAATTATTTTTATTTAATTGCATACTTTCCTGAAATCATCTTATGATAATTCTGTTAAATGTCCTTGTATAACTTTCATGTTTCTCGTCTTATGTCTAAATGAGTGACCGAAGTTTGTATTTGTTGATATGAATTACTTCATAAAGTCATAAAGTGTTAAAATTTTTAATATATTCTTTTAAGATATGGTTCAATCGTTTTTTCAATAAATTATAAGACTATTTTGAGAAAGACCTACTAAAGACCTAAAAACTTGACCTATTGTTACCGAATCGTGCTATTACTCTATTTGTGTCCTAACTTTTTGTCTATTTTTTTTCATGCAGTTATTTTAGTTGAGCCCTATTTTTCTTTTAAATGATGGTATCAACCATGCATATTATACCTCTTTTATTACATGGGTATTAAAGAAAGCCTTTAAGAAATTTTGTGGTGTGTTGTTTTAGTATATCTAGTATATCTGTTAAATATGTTGAGTTTTTGAGAATACAGTGAGAGAAACATTTTCTCTCTAAAGCTGTCACACTCGACCTTTCTGGAACATATCAGGACTACAGTTTGCAACAGATTATGTGCAAATATATTTGATTACTGCTGCAACAAACAGTTAATTCCGTGAACTATAAGTTTATAGTGACTAGTTTATTGAGTAACATAATCATTTTTTAATGGGCCATCAACAAAATATGTGTAATCGAAAGAATTTTGTTGTTGTCACTTTGCGTTGTTGCTTTGTTACTAAGTTACTCATGTCATTATACTAACATCCCTGTAAACACTTTATCCACTATACAAATCAATTTCTTACAAACTCTCTTAGTTTATGCAAGTATCTAGTTCAATATTTTGTTTTTTTTTTTTGATATATAATAAACTAATTTTCGTATCTTAATATATGGTTAAACTCTATATAATGAATTGCGATGAAAATAGTGGTTATGATAAATAATACCTTGTCATACTATCATTGTCATGTCTTGCTTAAGCATTAACTTACGATGAGTTACAGTGCTACCAACTTAAAAATTCTCTAGCTTTTCTCTAATATGGTAGGTTTTAATTAACTTACACTATATTTTTCGCTGTGTATGAAAAGTTTTCAAAGACATTTGATATTTAACGCACACGCCCAATTGAGAAAAGTTTTCCGAATCTAATATAAAATCGTATAAAATGAAATTAGGCAAAACAACAGCCTTAATTGTTGTTCTGTAAAATTTCTGTTACAAGTGAAGAACGTGCAATTAATCCAAAATTGCTTAACGACAGCCTGCCTTACAAGTAATATTGAGCAATTTTACATATTAATAAATTTTAATGTATGTGGAATTCTCATATAACAGAATAAAATACAATAATGTGTACAGAACAAAGAAAGGCATGACTAATCCATAATAAGTCTACTTAAAATGTATGTTCAGAAATGCACATTTTTAGGTGATTTTACATTTGAGAACGAGAAACGCATTTCCTATTCCGATAAAACTGCGATACAAGATAATAAATCGCTGAAAGTCACGTCTACCACATAAAACAATAATTTTCTCATATACTTATTTTACAATAAATTTCTAAACTTCTTTCAATTTATCGCGCACAACAAAAACATATAAAAAAACATATACCATATATCTGTGGGGCATGAAAGCATGATATTTGCATATATTTAGTTCAATTATTTTACAACAACAAAAACCATAATTTTCATTGTTGATTGGGAACTGAAATATTTATTGGATTGACATTCAAGTGCCAGTAGTTGGGAGAGGCCTAAGTGCCCCACAGCATATGAAGTCAAGACAAATTATGGGAAATAAATAATAAAAAAAAGTATTGGAGAACAATTGAAAAGTGTTTGGGAAAAGCAAACACGTAAGAGACTTAATTGAATGACTAAATCTATAAGTTCTAAAAAAGTTCATTCGTTCATTTTCTATTGAAGTCAATTAAAGCAAAATAAATAAAAGTTTTTACTACTCCGATTAGTGGATTTAAATATAAAATTAAGTGCCAAACAATATTTTTAATTCACATACAATA